AACGTTCTACTGCCTTTGTCAGCCTTTTAGTGGACCAAGCCTTCACATAGAGCAGGCATAATTCTATTCGATATGCATTGGGATCGAGGGCATTCATAAGTCGCTGCCTACGCGAACCGCAAATGCAACCCTTAACACCTCTACGTTGAGGTCACTGACCTCCGCCCGCATGCCGGATCGACGACCTTTAAGTCCACTGCCCATAGTTCCATTGATTCGTCATCCCCCCTACCCTCCAACACAGGGAGCCGCAACAGTTCCCCCTTCCCTTCCCCGCCACGGATCCCAGCCTAATTATCTGTCCACCCCCATTCACACATTAGTTGCTTGCCTGTCAATGGCTGCCCTGTCACGCCAGCAAATTTATTCTGACCAGTTCACTTTCTCCACTGTTTATTTCGTCTGACGACGGGTTGGTGTTACCAGCTCGAAAATTTACGAGTACAACTCAATTTTTCCGACGAGCCTTCTCTCTTCATCATATTATCTCGGAATGCACACTACCTCAGCTATCCAGTATAATCTGTGCCTACGCGGGCATTGAAGTCACCAAGGACAATCAACTTGTCCGCTTTCGACACCGTCGCCAAGAGGGCGTGCAGGTCCTCGTAGAATTTGTCTCTGACGGCGTCGGGGTTGGTCATCGTCGGAGCGTAGGCGCTGATGATGGTGGCGAATTTGCCCCCCCCCCCCCGCCGGAGAGGCAGGCGGAGGCTCATCAGGCGATCGTTGATGCCCTGCGGCAGACTGGGCAGTCATCCCACGATGTCGTTTCGGATAGCGAAGGCGACACCCGCGTCACGTCGCTCTGCCTTGGGCCGACCACTCCAGAAGGTGTAACCGGCACCCACCTCTTCCAGTTGGCCTTGTTCGGAGAAACGGGTCTCGCTGAGTGCGGCGATGTCCACCTTGTAGCGCGCCAGTTCTCGTGCCATTAACGCTGTCCTCCGTTCCGGTCGGTTGCTCCTCGGATTGCCTAAAAGGGAACGAACATTCCAGGCTGCCAGAGTGAGTGGACTCACCCTACCAGTCTGGTGACAACGAGTGGGGCGACGGGAAGGAGGTGGAGAAGAAGATGACGAAGGAGAAGAATAGGCAGAAGAATAGACGGAGGAAAAGGAAAAAGAGTTAGGGTGAGGAGAATGAGTATGGTTGTTTTTGTTGTTGTTTCGATTTCGATTGTTTCGACCATGTTTAGACGTCTGCGACCCTGGCTAGCCTGAAGACGACGTGGTGCCCAGCAATATTTAGGCCACCTTTTCTAGGCCCTTGCACTTGTGGGGGCTGGCAGTGCCATCCCTGAATAGGGCTGCCATATGCCGTTGTGGCACGGCCGAACTCCACTATAGGGCCACGACTTCGGGTCGTAGTGGAGAGCGACTCGAATTCACCGTAAGCCGCGGTCTCCGACGGCGTAGGTGGGCGCGTCAAGGCGATGTCGGTGTGGAGATCCATCCCGTCACCGGCTGTTCAGCGGCGTGCAGAGACGAATTACGTCAGGACGGTGCCGACGCAAGGTTCCATCCGACCTTCCATCCAGCGGAATCTGCAAACCCTGTGCACACGGCACAGCGCGCAGGGACCCCTCGCCTGGTTTAGCCCGCCGGTCGAGACGGTTGCCCGGGGTGTGGCCGCTGAGCAGAGCCCAGCTACGTGGAGCCACAGGTGAGAGTTGAGTGCCAGCAAGTGGACGCTAGGTGTAGTCTCACCTGCAAGCAAGTGAGCGACCACCACGACCATCACGTGAACCCACCGCTGACACCCCTACACCCAAAACACACACACATGACCAGCCAAAGGCACCTTTCTTACGGGGAAGGAGGCAATAGGGGTTTTACGGATGGGGCCTATGTATGCATAGTGGAATGGCAAAATAAGTACAGACAATTGGTCGAATTGGCACACAAAGAATACCTATTACACTTACTTAAGTGGGTTTTAGTCCGACCACCGCGTAAGTTTAATATTGCTCTAGAATGCGAAAATTCTCATGGTAGTATCCTGAAGACTAGTTGGCAGGCCCGCGTTTGTTTTCGATAAATTCTCGTTAGGCCGGTACATTTGCATGGGAACCGGATCGAGTAAAATATGTCAGTGGTTGGAGGATTCCACTAAAGTCCGTCCATTTTGACTCAACTATATAGACAAATAGACGGCGTTGCAATGTGCTCGCCTCTTGGACATCTCCTAGCCGATGTCTTCAAGGGCAAGCTGAAAAACTTACCACCAGGCGATCAGAGCGATAAGCTTAAACATTGCATTCGTTGAGTTGATTACACCTTTGCAAGTTCCACCACAGAGACCGACGTAGCCGCACTCTTAGACGCTTTAAATCAGGCAAATCCTTCGATCAGGTTTGCGTTGGAGATGGACACCGTTGGTCCATCCCTTTTCTTGGATGTCCTTCAATACAGGAATCGGCGCTTATGCAAAAGAATGCGCGAACACCTCTCGGCATGACTGGGAAAAGGCGAATTTAGGAGCGTAAACAGCTCAATTCTCGCCCAAGTTGTTGATTCCGGACATCATGTGGACCTCACCGAAACTTTTCGTGTGATTTATAGAGCCACCTCTAGCTACCCTTAACTACTGGGCCGGCGCCTGTTAGCAACTGCAGGAGCGGCCGCTATCAGGTTACGAAAACCGGTCTTGTGTGCGCAGAAGAACCTCGTTCAGGCTCAGCGCTTACCGTCGTGAAAGATCGACCAACTGCGTGAAACGCTCCGCGCACTTTCGCTCTCACCCCGCCCCTCGGCAGTGATTCTGCTGCCTCCCCCTCCCTCCCATATTCCCACACTCCGCCTGTGCTTTAAGACGAACTTTAATCGATTTTTCCAACCCCTGACATGTTTTACTCGATCTGGTTCCCATGCCAATGTACCGGCCCGACGAAAATTTATTGAAAGCAAACGTCCGCTCGCTAAGTATTGTTATGTTGAGTCTACCTGCTCAGCACTTTGGTTTCAGAAATCAACTGGCCCAGCAAGTAGAAGATCTTCAAGCTGCAGATGAAAACGCTGCCGCAGAGGCTAGCTAGTGCAAACTGTGGGACGCTATCCTCTCCACTACCCTGGGCATCCAGGACTGACTCGACGGCGGCGACGCAGGCATCAACAACTTGAGCGCCGAAAATAACAGGCTACACAAAACCTACATTGACTGCCGCGGAATCTCAATCACTTCCACCGCAGTTGTCTCCACAGAGCACTAAAGCTGAGATGACAGAACAGGTTCTCGGACACGGAAGTTTTGGGAGGGACAGGAATCCTCAGCACCCACGCCATACCGAGGCAACTACAACTACGATGGAGCGACCGCATCGTGAACGACTACCCAAACGACTGTTCTATGGAGATTTCTCTACAAATTCTCGTTGACAAGGAGGTCCAACCCGTCGTAAAAAGGACACAATGAAGAACTAATTGAAGCGATTAAAAACCAATTCGACAACATGCGAAGACCCCACACAGGACAGGCAGGCCTGAGGAAGAACAGTAAAGACTGGGGGAGCAGTCTACGAAGTCAGCTAGATTACCGCTTCCAAAGCCAAAAGGAAAGGTCGAAAGTCTCAGAAGGCCCTCACCCTAAATACCAACATCAAAGTCCTCACAACATGTCCGCGATGTCGGCGAACATTCCTCGCGAGGATCGGCCTCGTCGGACACCTCCTGAACCAACACGCCTGCGGTCGTCTACTCCCTTGAGCGCCGCCGCTTTGTCATGCTGCCTTCCTGCCCGCCTCACGCTCCCTGTCGATTCACTGCTGGGACCGCGCAAGACTTGCCACTAGCCTCGCGAGTGCTCTAGGTTAATCAACACTGTTCCTTCTCCGATTGGCTAGCGGACACTAACTGAGACAGAACAAAGGCGCACACACGCGCTGGAGTTAATAGCCTCAACGGCGGATACTGACAAAGACACAACTTGCCTGGAGAGGCAGCTTGCGGCAGCTACTTGCAAAGTTCCTTGTACTGACATTCTCTCAGTAAAAGCTGGTCCAACCCTATCAGTCTTCCCTGACTTCTGATTTGGGAACCTTCGTGTTCTCGACCATACCACCTCAAAAAGCTAACAACCTGGCAACCCCGAGTACGGCCTTCTCAAACGCAACTGCTCCAACCCACACGGCGTCAGCGACGACGATAACCACAGTTCCCATTCCCGCCACTGATCAAAAGGCTCTCGACGACCCGTCAACCACCACCCTCGCTATCACCACTGCCATCTCCAGCGATGTGGACTCGGTCCCGACCTGCCCTCTTTGCGATCGTACATTCACCTCGCGCATCAGCCTGATTGGTCAATTGCAAACCCGCCGCACTGCAGCTGGCGCATCAGCGTCAGGAGACCCAACATACACTCGCCGAATCTGTCCTCACTTTTCACGCACATTCATTCATCTCATGGGGCCTATTCGCTCACATGCGTATCTACAGCAGCGGAATCCACCGGAATACCGAGCACACCGGAAAACTCCTTCATCTCCCCCAGTGTCGACTTCCCAGCCACCAGTGCGATCTGCAACCTAACTTGCATACACTGCCACCGCACATTCGTCTCACGCATTGGCCCGGTTGGTCACTTGCAAACCCATCACACAGAGACTGACGAAACAGTGCCTGGATAACCAACGTACGCCAGACGTCCTCGTCCCAACTGCCCACATCGGTCGGACAGTCGAGGTAGGTTCTGTGCAACCTGTTCTCCGTAAGCACTGATGACTACATCTTTGTCATCGAACCAGTCCAGGTGTTGGCGACGTGCACGGCCGAGGCCACCAAGGGCTGTCGAATGAGCGGCGTCCCGTGGCTGGCACCGTCGAGTCTGCATGGAGCTGGCAGGCCTTTAAGCCGCTGGGCCAGTTAATTGCTGAAACGCAAACGGTAGTCAGACAAAGACAACAAAGCAGTATTCAGCTTACCTGGGCGTCACTTACCTTATGGTCTCCTGCGGGGGTGCAGGCGGAAATTCACCTCGGAGATGACAAGGCGGTGGTCCGTTCAGCCATCAGCGTCGCCGACCGCCTTGGTCACCATCACGTCCTGCTGATCTCGCCTCCGGGCGAAAACGTAGTCCAGCAGCTGCCAGCGCAGCGATCGGGGATCCATCCAGGTCGCCTTCTCCCGCATGGGCAGGCTGAAGAAGGTGTTGATCAATAGGAGTCGGTGTTCTGAGTAGGTCTGCAGGAGTAGGAGGCCATTGTCACTGCAGCCGGCGATTCCGTGAGTATCCAGCACCTGGTCTGTGCCGACGCGGGCATCGAAGTCACCAAGGACAATCAACCTATCCGCCTTCGGCACAGATGCTAGGAGTTTGTGCTAGTCCTTGTAGAACTTGGACTTTGTCTATTCAGAACCGGTCATTGTTTGGGCGTAGGCGCTGATGATGGTGGTGAAGTTGGGTCTTCAAAGAGGCCGACGCAGTCTCATCAGCCGGTCATTGATACCCTATGGCAGACAGGGTAGTCGTCTCACAATTTCGTTTCGGATGGCAAAGGCGATGCCAGCGTCTCGCTGCTCTGTCCTGGGGCGGCAGCTCCAGAAGAAGATGTAGCCGACACCCACCCCCTCCAGTTGGCCTTATCCAGAGAAACGTGTGTCGCTGAGTGCAGTGATGTACACCTTGTAGCGCGCCAGTTTTCGAGCGAATAGGATCACCCTTCGTACCGGCTGATTGCCCCTGGGATTATCTAAAAGGGAGCGAACATTCCAGGCTGCCAGAATGAGCGGGCTCCCCCTAGCAGCCTATGGGATGGGGCGAAGGGGAGGAGGAAGAGAAGGAGGAGGGGGGGGGAGGGAGAGGATATTGCGTCTTGTGTTTTTATTTCGACCGCATACTTAACAGTCTGCGAGCCACGGTCTGCGCACAAATGTCATGTACCCAACTTTGTTTAGGGCATCTTTTACAGCCCCCTCCCCTCGCGGACAAATCAGTATTCTCTCTAGATAGGATTGCATTGTCGCTCCAAATGGATACTGCTCTCCACTATGCGTCACGGGGTTTAGTGTGAGAACGACCAATAGCCTGGGCCGCCCACGTGATTGCATGTCGCCCTCATCCTAGGAATTCCGGCAGTGGGGGAAGTGAGTGGAGTAGAGAGTAGAGATGGGGAAAAAGAGAGGGACAGGGGGATAAGGGGAAAAAAAGACGGAGGGGAGAGGAGGAGAGTGAGGGCGAGGATAAGGGGCAAGAGGAGAAGGGATGAGAAATGCCAAGGGGAAAGTAGAAAAAGGAAGGGAAGCGATGTAGAAAAGATGGGAGGTGGGGGAGAGAGTCGAATTTTCGTATGGGATGGTACACACACGGATACCCTCACCTAGTTTAGCCCACCGGCCGAGGCGGTCACCGGGGTGTGGCCACAACGCAGAACCTAACTTCGAGAGCCACATGTGTGAGTTGGGTGCCAGTTGATGGGCGCAAGGTGTAGTCAACACTTGCAAGCATGTGAGCGACCTAACACGACCGTCACGTGGACCCACAGCTGGACACCCAGCTCGTAACAATAGGCCTCTACTGTCACCAACTAAAACGTGTGAACCGAGCTCTTGTTCTTAAACACCAAGCTTTAAACACGCCATCAGAAACTAACATATTTCCCCTGTGCCATCCTACCAGAATGTTGCGCGTCACCAAATATACTACACTCCGTGTTTCAGCAACACCTTTTTGGAAATAACAGGTGTTTCGGCAGATACTGAGTAATTCGTTTTGACCCAACTGTGAAAAATTGGGCGAACTCTGTTGGATTCCAACCCACGACAGCCAGGGGAAGACTTTAATGCAGCCAGCGCTCTGGCCACCTGGGCTACGAGGCCCCACCGAGAGCCGTGTGTTGCCTGCCGAGCCTACTGCAACGTCTGCAATTCCTTCGTTAAATACCCTGTCAGGTGACGTGAGGTGCAGCGTATTTCGGCCGATGTTTGGGTGTCCACCCAGACTGCTTATCGTATTTCAGTAACGAGAGTTTATACGTTAATTATTTCGTCATGCCGCGCACACGGACATTATATTTACCAAACAGTTACATGTTTGTTGTTCGTCACAATGATCCGACTCTGATGCCCCCGACCAGTCCTGTCCAAATTGTCCCGCACATTCACCTTTCGTATCGGCCTGGTCAGTCAGCTGCGAATCCATCGCATCGCACGGGGACTGGTGAACCAGTGTCTGGAGCACCAACATACAACAGACGCATTCACCTCAACTGCCCGCACTGCCCTCGCACAGTCAGCCCCGCATTAGCTTGATAGGCCACCTGTGCATTTACGAAAACCCGCGGTAGACAACCGCCGGCTAAACCACATCACCACACCCTTCCCCACCAACACCTGTACTACACAACAGCACCATCCACCACCGCACAATGGAAGCACTTAATCGACGCCTCTCACTTAAGTGGGAAGTGTTCTTCTCGAATCCCTCTCAGCCAATCGTTCAAGGCATTTCAATGACCCAACCACAGGAAATCACATCAGTACGATTGAGACCTACTGGATCAGGTTGAATCGGAAGCCCCACGAAGGATTCCGGTGTCTGCTCGAGCAATATGGCCCAACGTAGACGAAGTTCAAAATCGCCTGTGGTTGGGCAAGGACAGCGTGAGACTAAAGCATGCTCGGAAAATATTCCTGTCGCATATTGCGCGAACATACCCGGTGCAACAACTTCCTGAACCGGGAACCTGTCCAGTTTCATCGTTGCACTTGTCAGCACACCAAGTGCAACGATCCCTGATGAAGGGGGGAACCGTGAATATTCATAGGTATGCGGTAGCATGGCGACTACATCCTATAAATACTGCGGCCCCTTGTGCGTGAATCCCCTGTATCTGCCGTTGCCTTTGATGATGGATTCGAGCAGGAATCCGAAAAGCCAGGCTAATAAAGCTCTTGTCCCAGCGATCGTGTCTCCTTCTTCAAGACTGCTTCCTGGGAATCGTCTCTTCGCTTCTATTGGCAAAGGACGGTATCCTGGCGCAACTGAAATATCTTGGGACTATACCGAGTGATAATTAATACTGACTATTCGGCCATTGACTCCCACGATGTCTAGCCTGTGCTTCACAGCAGGGTAGGCGAAGGGACGGTTACTTGCGCGTAAATTAGTTTATAGTGAAGATTAACTTACTCTACCTCCACCTCACTCTCTCTTCCCTCACCGCCTGGGTTCGATGTCAAGAGAGGTCAAGGAGACTGGAGGTGAGGGCGCAGGTGGCTGGTAGAGTGAGTGAGTGATGTCGACTCCCAGCGCATAACTCCCCACTATAAACAAACTAATGCTGTTGTGTAAAATCCTGATCAGGGCACCTTGTGGACCAGGGGATGTGGTGGTACGTCTAGGTGAGGACCTTCATCGTGCCAGCCACTTGTACCCTCTCCCGCCTCCGGTTTTCTTGACTTGGTCATAACGGCGGATCCCGTTGGAGGGGGGGGGGTGTGGAGAGTGCGGTAGATGCTTTGCAAGCCCCCAACCGTTCCTGTTCTCACCCTACTGTTAAGCACATGATGAACATTGTCGCCAACAACGGTCTAACTGTCATATGGCGACACGATCTACTCTGTGGAGGCGTGTGATCTGCCCACTGGTCTGATCAGTCACTTACAAATCTATCGCACAGAGACTGGAAAACCGGTGCCAGGGACCCCGATGTATATCCGTCTCATCCGCCTCCACCGACCGAATTGCCCACGCACGTTCAGTCCCCGCATAAGCCTACTCGGCCATATGCGTATCGGAATTCGCCGCAATGACGACATTCCAAACCCACCCTCCATATCCGACAGCCATCTCATCTCCAGCACTACGAACTCACCCTCCATCGGCACAGCTACCTCTAGCGGCACCACCACTGTAACCGAATAAACAGCTTCCAACTTATCTTGCCCATAATGCCCACCGTACATGCAATGCACTCATCGGCCTGATCGGTCGCTTATGAATCCATCGCAGACACTGACGAGCCAGTGTCAGCAGCACCAACACACACCTGCGGCCATTGTCCCGACTTTGATCACACATCTATCACCGCATGGGTCTACTCGGCCACATGCGCCTCCAAGTAAGTCTACGGCAAATCACCACAGACCAGGCCTCATCATCACGCAATTCCTCAGCAGCACATGCATCATGCACGAGCCCCTGCCGTATCACCCACTACGCGCACGGGATCTGAATCTACTGCGTAACTGGGAAGCACGTTCCTCAGCTCCGTCTTCATGTGGCTCCTGTGACACTCGAACGCATGTGAGATTCGAGTGGCTAACCCCCGTTTTGAGATATCATGGTGCGTGGGGGGAGGGGGGGGGGGGCAGATCGTGTGTGGCATGCGTTGACGAGCTGTTTAGCTTTGTCAGTCACAGCGTCTGATCTCAGCATCAGTTACTAGACCGGCTTGGACGATCGACTCAACTCAGACCTCGCAGTTTCTGTGGAGCGACCGACTGATGGATTAAGAGTCAGGCTTAATGGCCCCTCCTCAACCATGCCACTTTGGCACTCTGACATGTGTGAAATCCCAGTCGACTACCCCTTTGTGTGAAGCATGGCGTGCTGTGTGTGGGGGTAGCAGGTCGTGTATAGCGCGCGTAGATGGGCCGTTTAGCTCAGTCAGTCACTTGGGCCCAATCAACTGACTAGCCGGCTGCGAAAATCGACCAGTGCACAGGAAAGCGAAGGGGTGAAGTTGGCTCTAGGGACTCGGTCAACACGGCATTCGGTGCATATTCCTCACCCCCAATAATCCAACGCGCATGAATCTATCACAATGCGCAAAACGCCATGGTTTGGAAGGCTGCCACCTAACGGGATAACTCGGTCCTCCGCTCAGGCTGCAGCGGCTCCTTCTTAATTGGGTTTCTGTGGGACTCCCACGCAGTTGAGATCCGAGCTGTACTATTTGTTGTCTGCGCGAAAACCCTCTGCATCCTGCGGGGACCAGGTGTGGGTGGCATGCCTAGACGGGTTGTTTAGCTTTATCAGCCATTACGCCCGATCCAGCCTGCAGTCATCTCGACTCTGCCTTTACACCGGGCCTAGACAGGTGAGGGAGGAGAGAGCGCAGTAAATGCAGCACCAGTCTATTATGACTGTAAACTAATTCGCGCGCAAGTCAACCTCTCTTCGTCCACCCTGCTGTGAAGCACAGGGTGAACATCGTCGGAGTCAACGGTCGAACTGTCATATCACCCAATTCATGAAGGCTATGCGATGTCTACTATCTGGCACACGTGAAGAATGCATCTCGGGGCAATTGTTTTCTGCCTTTTAAAATTCGAAATGGTCCGGGAATAAGACTATTTTTCATTATTTCTGGCCCCATTGCATCAAGATTAGTGACCACGTATTTGATTCATGACTTCCATAGCCCGGAATTGTCTATATTCCGTGCATTAGGGATTTTCCTTGTAAGCCAGATAAAGATATTGCCCACTCAGTGTTAGGCTTGCCCACCAGGTCTGTGAGTTTGCCAGTACTTGCGCCCTCTAGCTTATCTCAGCCACATGGTTTAGGTAGGACTGACTTTCAATGATGACACTGGACTGAATGGAGCGCCCGATCCGTCCATTTTGAGGACAGTGGAGCCCTGCTAGCGACGACTCAATGGGTTTCATTGATAGTCAAATCAACTCGAAGATGACATTTTTTTCATTTCTGTCAGAAGCCTGTCTAACCTCACCACAATATATTCCATCTAAATGACCACTTCGAGGATGTCGGTCATCAGGATGGATGAATGCCCTCTCGCTGTAATCTGTTCAATTCACGACCAAAGTCTAACACCCCATTTGCGACAGACAGAATAGGGATTTGATCTTTTCCTAGTTCTCTTATGGCGTTTAAACCTGTCTGACTAAGACTTATTTAGTTTGTGGCAGTCCGTACTCGTAGTCTCCGACGCGGTCGCTTATTACTGCCGTCTGCAGACCGATTCACACCCCCCTTCAATTGATGACTTGAGCCGCGTGTGGCCTGTCGCAGGCGTGGCGACAGGCCGAGGCCAATTGACGTTGTTGGGTGGCTTCGAGCGGACAAAACCGAGCTGCACTTCCGGGCTTCGGACAGGGGCTAAATCCTCAAAGACGTGCCGCCTCCGCCTGCCGGCTGGGCCGAGTGTACACTTTTTGCCGCAGTAAAGTTTGTACAATAACTTTGGTCTTCCCCAACTTGGGATTTGGGAGTCCTCCAGTTGTCGGCTACCGTTACTCAGCAGACTTACGCATCTTTAGTAGGAGAGGAACACTCCGATTACATGCAGTACTTCGAATCGTAGCGTGTCCCAAAAAGGGACATATACAGTAGGTGGGCTAACTCATGAAAGGTTAGCCGAAATTCCGAAATGCGTTTTCGTTTCGAAAAGACTAATTAAGTAGGGTTTTAAAATTAATCATTGCCTAGCATTATTCTATAATCAATCAGTTACCTTGAGGTGCCGCTTTTGAACGAACTTCTTTCCGGCAGCACACAAACTTCGTACTCTCTAAAAAATGACTACTTAAGTAGCATGATTTTTTCTTATTGATTTTCGATGACCTTAAAAACTCGATCATAGTTCATGGAAAATATGCATTCTTTAGTTAATTCGGTTGAAAATTACGTCTTCCTCCGATTTCATACCCGAAGAAAGGGTGTAATTCGGTTTTCAAAAACTTTTCCAATTCCCGAATAATTTTGAATCCGACCTGCTGTTACACTTGCATTCAGGGTTTCCACACTACAAGCCGTACATTTTTCGCGTACGGAAAACCATACATTCCTCTACGGTATTAAGAGGAGACCATATGGGGTTCACAAAATTCAGCAGTGAATTTGACCCATACCGGTAACTTTACAAGCCACATTGGCAAATGCAGAGACATGACGTTTTATGAGCGACAATTTCACGGTATTAAAGAAATCTCAAAATTAGAAACTTTTTAAACAGTGAATTCTACCCTTTCTCAGAGTACAAAATTGGAAGACGTAATTTTCTACCGAATGTGTAAAAGAATGGATGTTTTATGCATGTTTTCCATGAAATATAATTGATTTTTTAAAGGCATCGAAAATTAATGAGAAAACTTCACGCTGCATAGGTATTCATTTTTTAGAGTATGGTTTTTGTACGCAGCCGGAAGTTCGTTCGAAAGCCGGCATCCTGAGGTAACTGAATTATTATAGAATTATGCTGCACGATTATTAGTTTTACACTCCTACTTAATTAACCTTTTCGAAACGAAAACGCATTTCGAAACTTCGGTTAACATTTCATGAGTTGGCCCACCTACTGTACTAGTGGTTTGGGGCCTCCGGTGCTGAAGCGTGCTTCGTGACTGAGACTCCAACTTTCGCTATCTGAAATGTCCGGGTGACGTGAGTACAAGTCTGCATACTCGTTTAAAACTGACTTCTGGTTTTGTAATTTTATATTCGCTTCACTGCATGTTTGTTTTTTATTTTCACAGGGACAGTAGTTGCCCCGCCCGGGTAATAATTGGATATTTCGCCGGACTTGGACTCCCTCTTCTGTGATACCACCCACTTTAGCCTCCGCGTCTGAGGCGTGTGATGCAACCGTCAGATCCCCCCAGCCCCCGCCCATCTTATACAAAAGCAATGGGCTATACCTGCGCTTGGCTGGGCTTCTGAGGTTGTTTAAAAGATGACCACGATAGCTGCAACTAAGGCGCCTTGTAAATAGACCTTTCGACGGAGGCCGC